TGAGACCAGGACCCAGCCATCTCACTGGCCTACCCTGCTCTGCTGGGATGCTGCTCCCCAGCCTACCCTCCTCTGTAGGCCCCTGCTCAACCCACTGGGCTGTGGTGGTGGGCGACGTGGCACCCTTTCCCCGCCCTCACTTTTGTGTAATAAAATAGTTCTGGTTTTTCTGCACCCAGCAAGGCTCCATCTGCTTGTGGTGCTTTGTGTCCAGGTTTATTTTCAAGGAATCATGGCACACTGAGCTCCGGGCGGGGAGGCCTGCAGACTGGGGGACAGGAAGTTCCTCGGCACACAGTCTGAGCATCACGTGTAGGTACGGAGACAACAGATTCTCTCTTTCATCCCATTTCTCTGCGGAAGGGAAGAGGAGTGAGGACGTGCTGAAGTCACACGCAGGGAGAGCACGTGGGCCCTGACCTGGCTGTCCCGATGACCATCTCTAGCCCAGGGCTCCTCCTTCAAGGCCCCTTGAGCAGGAAGCAGCCCCGCTGCTCTCCAAAGCTGTCCCACCTAGGACAGCTGGTGAGATTGGGTGGGCGCAGGAGGGGCCCTATCCACTGGGCATCATTGGCAGCGTCCAAGGAAGGACGTGACAGTGGCGACTCTGACGTAGGCTTAGGATCCGGGGGTGACAAAGTGTAGGGAATGAAGCCAGTGCCAGTGGCCCATGCCTTCATGGACCTTTCAGTTTCACTGAGCCTTCGCTCCCAGGAGAAGCCAGGCCGGCCTCACTGGAGCAAGGCCCCAGGCTGGGCCCGAAGCCCAGGGACACAGGGCAGGCGAGTTCCCCTCAGCTCTCCTTGACCTCCCAGGACACAGACCTTCCCTCACCATATGGCACTGCTACAGCTCCAGAGACAGATGTGCAGATCCAGAACGAGAGCCCGCTGCACACACGCACGGACAGGGAAGTGGCTGGGAGTGCTGAGGGCAGATGCCTCCCCCACCCCCGACAGTGGGGGACAACTGTCCCTGGGGAAAACAGCAGCTTGGAGAGTTGTGGACTCGTCTCGGGCCACACAGAGCTTGCAGGGGGCTGAGCCGGGATTTGAACTCAGCTCTTCATGGTTACAGTGTGGTGTGAGACAAAGCACGAACTGTCCAAGTTCATGTCCCAGCTGTGCCTCTCAAGCTCCTTCACCCTTCTTGGCCTTGTGTTTCTCTATTGGGACGTCAAGTAAGAGATAACAGTTACCTAACGGGACCACTGTGAATATGCGTGTAAAAGCAGTTGGCACGGCGCCTGCACCTAGCAGGTTGTGGATGCTTACCGACACCCTATTTCTCCCAGAGAAAGCTCAAGGTCCCTAGCCATCCGGGTCCATTGTCCCCACCTGCCTACCCCGCCCAGCTGCGGCTCCCTCCTCCTTGTTCCTTAACTTTCTTTCCCTGCTACTGCTGCTTGCCAAGTCCTTCCCCAGCTCTCTGCCCACCTCTCTCCCTCCCCTCCTTCCCTCTCTGCCGAAATGTCACCTGCTCACCAGGCCTTTCCTCAGTCTGCCTTCTGGAAATGGCAGCCCCCCCACCCCACACTTCCTGCTCTCTGACCCTGCTTTATCCTTCCAGGGTTCTTCCCATGCAGCTGGCTCCATATTTCACGTCTTTAGAATATTTATTATTTGTCTCCCTCTTTAGAATTTTACTCCTAAGGGAACAGGATTGATTTTTTTCTGTTTTATTCATAGACGTATCCCAAGTAGTTCCAACAGCAGGCTGTTTTTTCCCCTACGGGATATCAGGCAATGTCTGGGGACATTTTTGGCGGTCACAACTGGTTGTGTATGTGTGTGTGTGTGGGGGGTCTGGGTGTGGGTGCTACTGGCATATAGTATGGTAGAGACCAGGGACGTTGCTGAACATCCCACAGTGCACAGGACAGCCTTCCCACCATCAAAACAGAAGAAGAAGCCAGCCCCAAATGCAAACGGTACCACAGTTATAGCCCTCTGTCTTACCTCATACTTGTTGGCCTGTCACGTCTCCCTCTGGACCAGGGTCTGCCCTCCAGAGCACCCAGATGGGGATGCAAACTGCTCATTGTCAGACTGTCACAAGCCAGGACCAGTCCCTGCTGTCAGCTGCCCTGAGGCCCAGCAATGCTAACTCACCCCTTGCACAATGAACCTGACCCCCCAGCCCTGGCACCCTTGTCCCCCTCTTGAAACCCTCTGGACCTTGTGCCCAGCTGGGCAGGGAAGCACTACCACAAGCCACTCAGGTTGACCCTGGCAGGACCCTGCAGCCTCCCTCAACCCAGGAGCTCCTGTTTTTGTTTCTTTCCAGAAAGGGCAATAAGAGAGATGGAGAATGTAGGGCACTCGGGAGGCTTGAGTGCTGAAACCTCTCCGAGTCCAACACATCCCAGGCAGGGGACACTTCCTCCTTCTGCTGACCTAACAAGCAGCCAGTGTGACAGCTCTGGCTCCAAATGTAAAGAACGCCTCCTTATAGAACCATCAATGCCTGCCTTGCCGCCAAGGCTGTGCGGGGAGGGGAGGGGAGGGAGAGGGAGGATGTCTCCGCTGCAGAAGCCCCGCCCCACCCTAGCACCATCAAACACCTGCTTCCCCACCTTCCAACAATTTCCCCTGGGTTCCCTGCTTTCCCGCCTGCTGTCAGCCCCCAACTCACCTTCACAAGTCTCTCCTTCTCCCCAGACTTCTCGGACTTGGCAGCTGAGCCTTTCCCTGCAGAATGCTGAGGCTGGCTAAGTCCTGTCTTCTCCCTACAGCACTCCCAACTTTCTGTTTCCTCCCTTCTGTTCTTCTATCCTCTCCTTTTCCTCTGAAAGGTCCTGAAAACAGCTAAACAAGTCACTGATGCTAAGATTTAGTAGCTGACATAAGCGGGTATCGGGCCGTACATCAAAGGAATGAGTCTCTAAAGGTGGAGTATAGAATATAGGGCACCAGACAGCTAGGTTTGGGGAGAAGGGGTGAGTGGGCCAGGGCTTTCCTGGGGCCCCTAAAGTCACGTGCACATGGCCCTAATTGTGCCAGAGTAAAAGTGGCCCCAGACCCAAGATAGGATGACAGACCAAGTACAGGCTGATTCCTTGTGAAAATGAGCCTGGGGACGGGAGTGCCAACTTCCCCCAGTGGAAGGCTGAAGTAGAGACGGGGTTACAACTCCATCTTCACTCTTGAGAATCTGAGCTGCATCTGTGAACTACTCTGCTATAAAATGTACACCACATTGCCCTGGTCTGAGGATGCAGGAGGTCTCCTTGCTGCATGGTCACTTCCCCAAGTTCAATGTCCACGAGTCAGGCTGAGGCCTGGACAAGTAGGGGCTCAACAAGCAGCCCAGGACCCTCCCAGGGAGCTGGGCAGTCGTCTGTGACCTTTGTTCTCACAGCACCCCACTGGCTGGCTTTCCAGTGAGGACACTAAGCGTCCAAGCAGTTCTGTGACTAGGCCTGGCTCCCACAGTTATTTGGTGATCCAGCCGAGACTGAAACTGCTCTCCCCCCAAAAAAAATTGCCCAGCCCCGGGTCAGGAAGCTCTGACTCACTCGCCAGGGGTCAAGGGTGCGGCCCACCCAGATGCTGGCGGGCCACATTGCCAATAGCCACAGCTATGGCAAGGCCACTTCACTGGCTTCAGTCACATGAGACATGTGGAGACGCGGTGGCTCTCAGCACACACAGCCCCCTGCTGCAACCACTTCCACACAGTGAGAGGGAGGTGGGAGTTGGGGGAGGGTGCAGATCTCTCCGCTTTTAGGTGCCTTGGGGTTCCTTGGCTACTCCCAGGCACCATATCAGCAAAGAAATGAGACACAGCCAGGGCCTCTCAGGCAGGCAGGACAGTGCTGCAGGAGTTAAGCTGTCACCAAGATGCCTGTGGCCCTGAGATGCCCTGAAGCCAGGACACCAGCTGCAGGCCAGAGTCCCCCACCCCCAACCAGGGCGACCAGGCTGTTCATTCATGGAGTCCAAGGGTTGTGGAGAGGGGAGCAGGTTGAGTGGCCGGAGGGAGCCCCATCTTGTGCCCCCTGGGATGGAGGTGAGCAGAAGCCAGCCCTGGTGACATGGATCTGCTCTCCCAGACACCTAGAGTCCATTGCAGACAGGTGAGTCCCTCTGCTTCTCTGAACAAGAGCTCTTCATCCATCAAAGGGGCCACAGACTGGCGTGGCAGGGTCAGGGGAGCACATGGCTCTGCCCAGCAGTCAGAATGGAAGCCTTTTTGCTCCCCAGCTGGGTACCCTGGAGTTAGCTTCTGAATCCCCTTCTGTCCCAGGAAGGGATACCTCGATCTCACTTTAAAATGTTTTAACAAGCTGCATCTTCATCAACTGCCCAATTAGGATGAGGGTGAAGAGGCCACCTAATTAGTACTTGAAGCGAGGCGCTCTGGTGTGGCTGTGGCAGTGTTTTGCTGAGTGCCTGTCTACACCCGGTGCTTCGGGGGGGCCCCATCGCCCCTGCCCCCAGTTCTCATCCCTGCTTGGGGGCACCAGGCCCTGACACTTTCTCCTACCAACTCTCCCGGGTCCCTGAAGCCAGGTCAGAGGAGCCCCCCGGAAAGCAGACGTCCCTGGGCAGATGGGCCGGGAACTCCAGAGTGGGTGCGACACGCAGGAGAAGTGAGGTCCCCCCAGAGGTGTGATAAGCCTGGCCGGAGCTCGACCTGCAAAGACGGACACCCCAGCTCAACAGGTGCTGGTGCGTTCCGCTATCGTTTCTGGCAACCCCACTCAAGTCCGTCGCGGGAGCCTGGAGCGGGCAAATTGCCCGATAGCGTCTCCAAAGGGGAGGGTCACCGCCTTCCCCCGGCGCGCGCGGGCACACGCACACACACACACACGCGCACACACACGCACACGCACACACTCACGCCTGCCCCTTCCAGCATGCACGCACGCGCCCCTGTCCCTGGCTACGCGGTAATGAGGGCTGCGGGTGCAGCGACCCAGGCACTGCAAGAGCGCGTCCTCTCCCCGACCCCACGGGAGGGGACAGCAGGTCTCTCCCGGTCTTGCGGGCTCTTACCTTGCCGGAGCGGCCGCGACCCCCGACCTGGGGTAGGGTGTCCCTCGCTGGCTGGGCGCGTGGGGCGGGAGGTACCGCACAGGCTGCCCGGAGCCCGTCCCGTCCGATCCGCCCGAGATGCTCGCGGCGCGGGTGACAGTGGCCGCACCGCCGCTCGCGCCGGGACCAAGGGGAAGATGGGCGGGGCCGGGGCGGGGCTTCCCGGAGCCCCGCGTGCCAGCTGCGGGCGGCTTTGGGACCCGGCGGCGGCCGCTGCCTTCGCCGACAGGGGGCGGGGGGAGGGGTATGTGGGGGCTGCGGGTGAAGAGGTGGGGGCTGGGTGTGAGAGCCTGACGCTTTTGAGGCCGCCTAGGGTTTTGGCTGAGGACTTCCTGGAGTCAGACTTAACCTTCCAAGGCTAGCTGCTTCTGCAGCTACTGTGCTGGGGGGTTTTTTTAAATGAAAGTGATGATGAGGTGACAACATAGCCAGAGAGCATTTATTGAGCACTTAGTTTGTGCTAGGAACTGGCCAAAGAGCTGTGTGTGTGTTGCAGGTGGTCATTTAACTCTCACAATAATCCCCTTCACTGAGTAGAAAACCGAGGCCGAGACAGGAAGTGCCCGAGGACAGACACCTGGAAAAGGCAGAGCCAGGATGGCAGCTCAGGTCTGGCTGGCTCTCGGATCGCCCTCATAGACGTCAGGATGGTTCTTTCCCTTGTGGCATTAAGCAAACTGTTTGTCCATGTAAACTATAAAGTGCAAATATATAATAAATAGCAAATATATAATACATGATTATATATAATAAAATTTTTCCTGCTCATATCTGAGTAAAGTCTATTTCTGAGTAGTGTGATATTATCAATTTGTTGTACTTCAGAGTACATTATAGTTATGTAACATAGCATTGTCAAAGGTACATGGGAATACTCTGTACTTTTACCCCATCCTGTTAAGTTTTTTGGGTTTTTTTGGTACCGGGGATCGAACTCGGGTCCTTGTGCTTGCGCAGCAGGCGGCAAAACCACTGAGCTAAACCCCTGCCCCCTGTTAAGTTTTTAAAGTTTTACACTCCAGAACACTGAGCTGTAAAATACTATTTATATTTCCCAAGACAATCATGCCACAAATCCAAGACAACTTGTAGCATTAGATTATTTCGAATTAAACATTTTAACTTATAGTTAACAAACAGATACATTTCTCAGTATAAATTCTGCAATAATCTAGTTTGTATTTTTCGTAAAAACAACTGAAGCATTTATAAAACTCCATACTTTTCTGAGACAGGGTAGCTCAGGCTGGCCTTGAACTGTGTAATCCAGGCTGTCCTTGAATTCATGGCATCCTCCTGCCTCAGCCTTCCAAGTGCTGAGATTATATGTGTGTAACACCACGCCCCCCCGGCTCTTCATATCTTAATCAATCTTAACAAAGAATGTCCTATACTTGTAGGAAAACAGTCCTCCAAAGCCTAGCCAAAGCAATGTTGTCTTGTAGTGGCTGCTGTGCAGCTGTCCAGCGGGCTCTCGCTAGGTGCCGAGGCGGTGTGCAGACTGCAGCACAGCAAGGTCACCCAGCACTGTGGCTTGACAGTTCATGGTGAGACTTGTGAGGTCTCACCACTTCCAATGAGGTGGCAATAGGGTGCAAGTAACTTTCCCCAAGGACACTTGTTCTTTGCTTCTACTTTTTGCTTTTCTGTTATGGGCAGTTGTTATCACGGTCAGTAAATGGTAATGTGCTTCACTTTACAATCCTGAAAATCTTTTTTGTTTCCAGTTGGAAGCTCCTGACCCCCTAGAAAATGTGTGCTCATCTATAGGCTTCCTGTCCAGACAACCTAACCCCCATCCCCAGGTTAGAAAGGAATCGGAATTCATGCTCATCCAGAAAGGCACACATGGAGGTTTTGGCTGATCTGGTGCTTGGGTGGGGGTTTTCTTCTGTGACCAGAAGGAGAAAACACAGTCATTCTGGTCTCTTGATCACTGGTTTAATTTTTTGCTAGTATTTCGTCCCTTCTTAAACATGGATGCTTGTATGTGTTTGAACGTGGTTGTAGCTTGTGCATTTGGAAACGCACTCTGGAGATGGAAATGTGAGTTTTTAGGGCAAGTAGCTATGCACATCTGTAAGGGTGCTAGTCCAGCCCAACATGTCTTCTGGTCACTTTCCAGATAGCAGGCACCTGCTCAGGAGCAAGGTAAGCTCAGGAGATGTCCTGAAGGCCTATAAAAAACAAGTGGGATCAAAAGGCGTATCTTCTCCCATTGCTGTTTAGAGATGGGAATAAAATTTAACATTGTCGGATTTCTCCTTTCCACAATTTATCTGTTTTCTTTATTCTCTGGGCCCCAGACATGCAAAAGTGCTCAATAAAATATTGGACAACCAATGGATATGTGAAAGCTGCAGCTGGAGTGAAGGGTGCTATCCAGCTAGATTGGCTGGGAGACCTCAAGGATCAGCTCTGCTGCCCTTCCTATCCACCCATCCTCACAGGCTGTGAAGGGGCCAAAGATCTGTGGAGTATGTAAAGGTTTGGAGGCAAAAATAGGTTGCCAGATAATGGACACCAACAATGAGTGGTTACTATAAACTGTAAGGCAATAGCTAGGTTGCTAAGGTCTCTTGGCCTGGGTGTCTCTGAGATGACATTGCCACATGTGAATGGGGCCGTGTGTACTGTTGTGACAGCTGAAGGCTTTTGGAAAGGATATCCCTGGTTTCTGTGCACAGCATTTTTTTTTGGTACCAGGAATCGAACTCGGGACCTTTTGCTTGTGAGGCAGGCAGCGGCACCACTGAGCTAAATCCCCAGCCCCGTGCACAGCACTTTTGACCTACAAAATTCCTCTCTCTCTCTCTTTCCACCTATACCAGGCATGCTCCTCTCTACCCCCTGAATTCCCTGATGCAGAGGCTTCACACACTGGCAGTGTCCACATCTCTTAACTGCTCACCTATCTCAAACCCTCAACCCCTAAATACTGCCAGACTCTTCTAAATGTGCGAATTCCATCTCTCTTGTCATCTTCTCTATTTGGAAAATTCTTATAGATCCTTCAAAATCTTATTTAATTTGCTCCCTCTAAGCCAGGAATTAATTTCTCCTCTCTTCTGGCCCCAGGGGCATCTGGTCCAGCTCTCAATGGGACAGCATTGATGAGCTACCATCCATGTCCTCAACTATGCTATGAGCTTTTAAAGGCAGAAGGCCTGACACATAGTAGGCACACAGTTAGTAGTTGCCAAATGAATGACTATAAATTGGATAAACTCATACATACTAAACTAAACTCATAGTAAACTAAAGCTGTCAAGAAGAAAACCACCAAACAAAACTACAGGTGGAGCTGGATCAATAATATGAAAGAGGAAACTAGGCAGAGCAGCCAGGAGGTATGCCGTTCTCAAGGTGTGCAATTAACATTCCCAGCAAAGGCCAGAGAGGCTGGCCTGGGATCCATGTCCTGCAGGGTCACTAGCCCTGTGCAGCAGCCATGGCCTCAGGCAACTGATCTTGGTAAGGAGAGGAGAGGTACCGGGATTGCCCAGGGTGGGTATGGGGCTGGGAGGGCTGTGCCCTATCTAGAGCTGGCCGAGGATGCTGAATGTCCACTTACTCCCAGACAGGTCCCCCGTGTGGCCCGTGTGACCCTGTTCTCAATGCCCAAGTCTACATCTATGGCCTTTCTGCCTGTCTTTGGAAGACACGTTTTGGAAGGCAAATGAGTTCCAGGAGGGCTCACAGGCTTTTCCCTAGCCTGGTCAAGTTGGGGAGATCCAAGACAAGTGTGGCTGAGAGAAAAGGAATGTGAACTACATGGAATGGCTCTGTCCCTAACCAGCTGTGTGACCTGAGACAAATTACTTAACTTCTCTGAGCTCTTTAGTTTACTCCTCTATAACCAGGGCTAGCTTCATGGGTGTATGACTTGGGCACTTGTAGAACCCTGCTCTTAGGAAGGTTCTGTGCTTGGTTTAATGATGTTCTTTTGCCAGTTTGAAATTCTTAATCATTTCAGGGGCTGCATTTAATTTTTGCACCAGACCCACACACACGCAGCAGCTGCTGGTGTGAATCCCTACCTCACTGGGTTACTGTCACATTTCAGTGCAATTCTTTGTGCAAAGGCCTGACAAATAGTGGTAGGTTCTCAACAAAAGTTGTTCTCTTCCCTGGATCTGATTTTGAAGGATGAGTAGAAGTGTGACAGGGAAACAGAGGGCTGGAAGGGAGTCACATTGAGCTACACCCCCAGCCCTTTTGTGTTTTGAGATGGGTCTTGCTAATTTTCCGGAGCTGCGCTCAAACTTGCAATCCTTCTGCTTCAGCCTCCCTGAGCACTGGGATTACAGGCTTGCCCCTCCACCATGCCTTGCTCCTTCTGGCTCTTTGAAGGGGTCGGGATGTCAGACTCAGAGCCCTAGGAGAAGGAAGCCAGGGAGGGGAAAGTGGGCGGGCACTCAGCACCAACATCCGGCCCACATTTTAGCTTAGGCTGCGCTTTAGGCAGATAACAGGCCCCGGTGGCAGGGGTGTGGGCGGGAGCCCCGCTTGGAGGTTGCCAGTACCCGCCCTTGGAAATGTTCGCTGTAGACATAATGGGAAAATGCTGTAGGTGTAAAAGCCAGCAGCTGTGCTTGGGGACTTGGGGACCCCAGGCCTGATGAATAATGGAGCAGCCCTTCCTCCCTGGGCCTGTTTTTTTTATCCTGTCAATAATTCATGCACTCTCCGTTGGCTGAGGAGTTTCATAAAGCCCCCACTTTCTCTGAATCCAGGGCCAATCTAAGCAAATCTCGCGGCTTCCCGCATTAGGTTTTAATTAGAAACACAGACACACAGAGGCATCCGGCTTTGCAGACTGCACCCTGTGCACACATAGAGGGAAATGCCCAGGTCCGTTCAGGAGGAGGAAAGGTCTCCCAGCCAGGCAGCCTCCTCCCGGCCCCTGGCAGGTAGGGTGGGGACATGTTTCCCCTCCAGGTGGGAGGTTTGCCACCATGAGGCTCCCTGGGTGACAAGATGTTTTCTGTCACTCTGATTCCTATAAGATGGTGAGGAAGAGTGGGGCTTCCTTGCTCGCCTGATGGACACATGCCATGAGCAAGAAGAAGAAAGACTGTTGTTTGAGGCCTCTGTGATCCCGAGGGCTGCTTGTTACCATCACACACCA